AGTCGATACAAGCTTCTCGTAAGCATCGAAAGCACTTAAACTTGCTCGACGAGGATAGATCTGTCGGACGATCGAGCGTGAGAATGGAAGGAACAAGACGGCTCGGATGGATATCACGGTGACAGAGTTAATTCCCGATCTCCTCCTCGTTGTTTCATTAAAAGGACATCTTGCGTTTAATCGTAATTCAGGGGGGGGGACGAATTCGACTACCGTAGCGTAGCTACGTTGTAAAATATCGAAACAGGACTTGGCCCGGAGACGAGGTAGAACCTTCGTGTCGTCATCTTTCGTTTATCTTTGCCGACGAAACGAAGAAACTTGGGGACAGCTCGAGAGGTTTCCAAACAGCGCCAACCTCCATTGGCTTGGTTTTACTCTCGTTGCTTCCTTCTCGAAAGCAATCACCGCTCCATCTTGAAAAAAAAAAAGAAACGAAAGATCCAGCGTGAAACAGATCAACAGAAGAGACGTTGAAATTCGAAGTTCAATCGACTCGGGGGCAATTACGAGCTGGCGTGTGGTTCGGGATACTCGGACAGCTTCGGACGCGAAAAATGGCTGCCGCTAGGTAGGTACGAAACTGTGGGTAGTCGAAAGGAGGAAAAGTGGGATGGGAAGGGCCAGGGCTAGGGCCAAGAGCATCGGGGCCGAGGGCTGTTTGCGTGCGAGGTTGATTGGGGTGTCTTTTATGCGAGGGTGGCGAGGGAGAGGAAGGACGGAGAGGAGAGGAGAGGACGCAAGAAGGAGAGACGCCGGGCGCGGAAACTAGCTTTCGCGTAGAATTTCTCGGTGCTCATCTTACGGTCGATAGTGGCAGCTGCCCCCTGCTCCGCGTCTGAACTTGGAAATAATCTAGCGAAACGGACTCCTTTAATTTGTATTTCGCTGTCGGAGTTCATTTCCACCGGCTGTACAAAGCCGGTTTTCCCTCGTCTGGCGAGGTGTCGACGGGGCGTCGTCGCTTCACGAAGATTCATTCCTCCCGGAAAATTAAATTGCGATTTTTTTAAACGCGTTCGCCCGGTCCTCCTTTTTTTCACTTGTTTCGTTGCTCTCGTAGCTTCGATCGGCTGCAAGTGAAGTCGGATGACGCGGTCCGGTTTCAAGAAAATCATTTTATCGTGGAAGAAGCGAATTCTCCAGGCTTTCAAAGGACGAGCAGGGGACAACCGTAAAAAATTGTTCCATCTGCTGTTATCGATCGCAGCTGCCTCGATATTAGAGGGGTGGAAAGGTTGTTTCTCTTAAGGGATGGAAATCCCGCCTCGCAGGCTTTCGAGCCTGGAAAACAAGGAAAATCCTTGCAGATTCTAACGCAATTCCCAAAAATCTAATTAATTAACTCGATTAATTAACGATAAAATGAAAATTGGAAATGAAATTGGGATCAGCGAATACATTTCAGGCCTTGGAATTTTCGATACGAGCGTTGTTATAACCGATTGTTAATAATTTAGAGCGTGGCTCGCATTGTTCTTGAATTAACGCATAGTTGAGAGAAAATTGCAGCGCGTCACCTTTGGAGAGCAGTCGCGCTTCTATCACGGAACTCTGTGCTTCCACAGCTAATTCCGAATACGCGGTAAATTGGAAAGGGAAATTTGTCCCGGGGGGAATGTCTTTCCCATGGCGAGTATCGCTTTGAACAATCCCGCGTGAACAATCCGAAGAATTCTCGAAAATTCGAGGACGTCTGTAACGAAGTGGTTTATCTAAAATACAAACAAACGGCGCTCTCCAGTTAAACGTTAGGTCGCGAAACTAACGTGAAATGACAAGACAGGCTGTCAAGAAGAAGAAAGTGTCGATCGAGAAATTCAACGTACATGGAGGAAAAGTACATTTGTCCCTGGAGAGGAAAATGCGATCGTTACTTTCGGGAGTTAACGAAGCGAAAGTCGGGGAAATGAAAGAAAAAGTGGTCGACCTGGGTCGTCGTCTGGATTCTTCTGCGTGAAAAGCAGGCAGATAATAAAAGAATATTCTTTGGTCCGCGCGCGTGGACGCTACTGCGGGATCGATACTGGAATCGCGGTCGAAGCGACGCCTACGCGTTGATGGCTCTCGTCGATATAAAGCTGTCGCGCGGCAGTCAACCACCTCGCTCGTTCCCTGTAAAAAGGCAATTTCCTTTTTGCGCTGGCGAAACTCCTCTCTTTCCCCTCTCCCCATCCGCTGGCGCGGTTTGCGATATCTCGGCGACTCGCCTAGCTCGCGCACCCGACCGGCGAGATCCGAACTTTGTACATAATCGAAGGAATTACTCGACTTTCGGATCGTGCCGGAAGCGAGAGATAGCCTTTGGCAGACGCTCTGGCAAACTTTGTCAGCCATTTCGAGGGTTAAAGTTTCGCTTGAAGGTTCTTCCTCTCCTTCTTCTTTCCGTTTCTTGGGTCTTTAGGTTCGAGGAATTTTCGTTCCAGGTTAGGGAGGGTAGGCTCGGGAGGATAGTTGGGCGTGGAAAACTGAAATGGAAAAGAGAATGAAGAGAATAGTTTCTTCAGGGAAAGAAGAATGTAAATTCCCACTGTAAAACAGTCCCAGTCCTGGGTGAGCTGGCTCAGAAAATGTCGATTTTCAGCTTCTTTTAGTGATATATTATATTTTAATACCTTATTAATCGTTCTTCTCGTTCGTTTTCATTCGAGAGATAAAGTGAATTACGCGCAGCGCGTATAATTGAATATTCTTCATCTTTTGAATTATAATTCGCTAAAATTTTACCAAAGTCTAACGATTTTTTTCGGAATACAGTGTGTCGATATAATGTTTAGGGGTTATGGTTGCACTTTTATAACGAGATATTGTCCTTATAAAAAAAAAAAAAAAAAAAAAAAAAAAACAAGGGAATCATCACTCGCAGACTATCGAGTTAAACGGCTCGGTTTTTTTAGAAAAAAAGTTGACCCATCGTAAAATAATAAATATATTTCTAGAGAATCGTGCCAACTGAATATAAAGGAAAGTCTAACAATAGAGGATTATGGGCAAACGGGGTGGTGCCGTGGAAACAGTTCAAAATGGCAAAATGGACGCGAATGCGGCATTTAGAATTTCTTTAACATTCCAAATCTACTTCCGCAAATATATTCTTAGATATCGATTGTATTTAAAACGTATGATAATTCTCTTTAAGAAAGAGAGAGAGACAAAAGTGGGCCATCAGTTCTCGACTTGCCCCAAATCCGTGAGAGATGGCCTGGTATTTATTCTGGAACGTAGCCACGTTTCTCTGAAACTCTGTTTCGATTCCTCGATGCTTTACAGTCTCTCGCTCGCGTTTATAAGTCGCAGACTCGCTCAAAATGTTATGTCACGCATGTTCGATCCCGTTTGTAAACGAAAATCCTGGACAGACTGTCGTTTCCAAGTGGAAGAAACGTCGTACTTCCTGCCGGTGGTCGCGTCGTTCCGCGCAAAGCTGGTTCTGAAATGTCCTCGAGCCTGCTGTAGGCCGTTTTCGTACTCGTTATTTAGGATTACTCCCGGGTGCCCGAGCCACGATTTATGAAACTCGTAATGGGCTGCCCCTAGGCGTTACCTTTCGCCGAGGTATAATGATTACACGCGGCCCGCTATCGCCACAAAAATAGTACCCGACGATAATCCCTTTGGAACTTCACTCTTCTCCATTTTCTTCCATCCCCTAACATCCCTTTAGATTTACAAATTTAACAAATTTCTAATTCTCTAACCTCTTGCGATGGAATGACGTGCCAAGCACGTCGAGAATTCCTTGTCCCAATTGATTTTTCTCAGTTTTAAGTCTATTGAAATATGGCCCGGGCAAAGCAAATCATCAATTCATTACTTCTTAGTAATAATTTCTATCCAGCGATGTCACACCGACGAGACTTTTCTTTCAAAAAGAGAGCGGCGAATTATCGTGTATGGTTTGGTCACTCGTTATGGTCCGTGTAACCAGTACAAGAGGTTAATCTCATCTAATGGCGTCGTGCTATCCACGAATGTTTCAAACCTAACCTAACCTAATCTAATCAACACCTAACCTAACATCTCAATATCATTGTTATTGTAATATTTTGAAACTAGGATTTACTGTTCGTCTGTTTCGAGCAATATCGTAATTGCTGTTCGTTCGTGGAGAACGAGTGGAAACGAGCGGAAGAAGAAAGGATGAGAAACGCGATCGTCGGAAAATGGCGGTCGGTGTGTAAAGGGGATGAAGAGGGGAGCGTGGCGTCTGACAGACTGGCCAGGGGAAGCGTTACTCGGTAACTGTCCTTGCGAACTGCGTGTTTATAGTTCTGCCGTCGCATTTGTCTCGTCCCGATGGTCCCGGGACGTTAAAAAATCGTGTCGACCGAGCGTCTCGGGCGCGTTTCTTTGAACAGGAAAATGCAAGGGACACTCGGGACGCAGGAATTATTGAGCAATAAAGAGGAAAGGAGACGCGTACTGACGCCTTTGGAACGCCGAGTACCTTGGCTTCCTTTTACGCGACATTCCTATTTTTATGGCGTGATGAACGACATCTGGCAGCGACAACCAACTCGTCTTCGTTACGACTCTGCCTATACACGGTGTTCTGTAGTTTCGTCCGATCAAATCGTAGGTCGCTTGGAGTTTCATTGGTGGGGTGCCATGGAAATTTATGATTTTTCTTGTCAAATGTTAGCTTACTGTTTGCTACCCACTGACTAACTGGATCTTCGAATTTTTCGCAAAAGTCCCCTGATTTACGAGGCAAGATATCGATTTTGATTGAACGATTCTCCCCTTAGAAAGCTAGGATTTTCTTCGCGGGCTGACAAATCAGGATAATGTCACAAGTCGCTTTCAAAGTAGATCTTTCTCGATGCGATTGAGCGAAATGTTGCTTAACAGTTCCTGCCTGTACAATTTTCTTGCTTGTTGTGGAGATGTTCCTGTATGGTGGACAAGGAAGCCCCAAGCCTGTTCGCTAAATCCTGAACGGTCTGACGAGGATTCGACTCAATTAGAGAACCGTGCTCGTCGTTGTCAACGACCTCTGTTGGCCTCCCAGAAGCAGGGACGTCTGAAAGACTGAAATCACCGGACCGAAATCTCGAAAACCAACATTTGCCAACTGAATATACAAATCGTATTAGTTGCATCATTATCTTCGAAAAAGCAGAAAATACTCGGAAATCTTGTTTCATAAAATTTTTCTCTTTGCTGTTTATTTGAAGAAAAATTGAATCGCGTCTACTCTCAATAAAGATTTCCATAAAAATTGAATCGTACATATATCTTAAGGCCATTTCTTGTATGAAAGCAATATCCGTACAAAGTGAAATATTTCGAAAAGAGAAACGTAAGGGGAAAAAACGACATCACTTTCCGATACTCTCAATATTTATTCATTTTCATAGAAAGTACCGATTTCACTCTCGAAATCAAAGCTGAAGCCATCGTTCGCGTTGCGGTGATACGTGTTTAAGGGATGATCTGGAGATCGATATTTCGATTGATCCGGCTTCTTAAAACGCGCGTGATTCAGATGAGGAGATAACGACGAGATTTTGTCTCATTCTGGTAAGCTGGAACTACACGTTTGAGTAATTTCTAAAGTTAACAATCGATCGATTTTCGAACGAAGATAGGTCACTCGAACGTTCTCGAATCGAACGACACGTGTTTCTTCTTTTTTTTTTTCTTTTTTTTTGCTTCTGTTAATTCTTCGCTGGAGAAAGAAAGAGAGACGCTAAGGGTCTCGCTAAGGGGTGAACCTTCGGCGATTGAGAGATGGTATCGCGACTCCTTTTATTCGAGACAACGAAACTTTCCTGTTCAAACCGAGTTGGATTAATCTGTTTCCTGTTTCCCACTTCTATCAAACTTCTTATCAAATTTCTTTCAGCTCGATTTCGCGAAGCAAACGGTTCCGATTTTAACGGCTGAGTTTCCGGGGAAAGGAGGGCTCTCTCTCTCTCTCTCTCTCTCTCTAGCACACACAAGTGGACGTGTCTGTGTTTTTCTCTATCTGTTGGAAATCAAAGACTTTCACAACGCAAACTTCGAAGGATAATTACTTTTTTATGATCATTTAACACTGCGTTCTAACAGCGACTTTATAATTATCTATATTACGTTTATATTTCGAATAATGTTAACAGTTGGTTTTATCATTTGATTATTTCGGCCCACACTGTTGCTACAACTATGATAAATCAGATCTTGACGAAAATCACGTAAAATAGACAGCCACGCGTCCAGAGCCATAAAGTCGCTGTTAGCACGCAGTGTTAAACGATTAAGAAACTTTTTTCCCATTTTATTGGGAAATCTATTAGGTTGCGACCTATGGTTTCTTGCAAAAGTTTTACCTTCGTGATGAGTAGAGTGCAATGCAAAAAGAAAAATTTTGACCTTGAAATTCACGGACAAATTTTTCTTTCCACCCTGTGTGCATTTAGGAGGACGTGGACAAACAATATCGCGGAAAAATGACAGAATGAATGTTTTAAAAAAGTCACGATGCGAAAAAATCGACGTTCCTACGTTGATCTTTCAATTCGTTACGTCAAATGGATAAAATAGGAGTTTCGCGTTTGCACGTGATTCCCCTGGAAATATTATTCTAATACGATATATAACATTTCTACGTACGTAATCCAGCATACAGATCTGATATTCGTTACGTATTTTGAAATTTCACTTCCGCGAGTTTTTTTCGGACTGATATTTCTCTCGTGCAAATTCGATATTGAAAACGATCGCATTACGTTTGTTTGTTATCGAGCGGTCGGAAATTCTGACCGACGACGGTATTGTGGATTGAAACACTGTAATAATAATAAGTACGTTTATGAACGAAACGAAAGAGAGTTTTCCCTGTCTGAACAAATGTACAATAAAGGAAGAGCCAATTGGACAATTTTTAACGATTTCCTCTTTTGCAAAAAACTGCACTCGGGCCGAAATCTCCAACAACACTCGACAACAGCATTAATCGGAAACTAACGGGTCTCCTCAGCCTCGCGAAACTTTGAAACGTGCGCGGGACGCTGAGTTGCCTGCAACGCGCTAAAAAAAAAGAAAGACAGATTTCCCCCAAGACTTCTTACTCGAGACTTTCACTTGGAAACTGGGTAACTGGCGAGTGGAACGAGCCACAGTAACACAATCCGACTCGCGTCAACGACGAAAACACCCACGTGCTTCACGCCGATCCGATCCGATCCGATTCGTTTCGACTCGATAATCATCGCGATAAAAATGGAGGAAACTCGAGTCCACCTAGAAGCTCGAAGCCTTCGAGAAGGTGGAGAAATTTGGATTCGAAAGTATTTAAACGATTTGAAACGTCGATGGTCGACGAATCGTGCGACACGTCGGGAAAATTTGTTTTCTATCACTGTGTGTTTCTGTAATCAAAGGAACATTTGTCGGAGAGGTTGTAAACGTTAATGACGGCCATCATCACGGACTTGGCATGAAGCCTGTTATCAGAGTCCAACAGGTTATCGTGCCAGCTAAGAGATTCTCTGCAATTATCCTGGCCGCAACTTGCGTAATTATGTCTGACACTTTGCGGACTTGTACTACTTGACGTAAAGTTCCTGTTTCGATCTCTGCGCTCTGTTCGGCCGAAACTTCGTGATTCTACTTCTCGTGCTCGTGTGTTGCCATAAAACGGTTCGTGTTGTAAATTTGAGAAATATCTAAATGTTAAATGGCTCTGAATTGTTCCCGCAGTTTTCAATAAACTTTCTCCCGTTCGTTTCGCCGTAATGAAAAGTTTCGTCTGTCGTGTTATATATAATAATTGTAAAAATTATATTATTAGATATTGTGTATAATTGTATGACTCGTACAATTGTATATATTACATATAATTGTGATTATTGTAAATTGTAATTATAAAGTGTTAAAAATTCTGTAATTGTACACTGTAATATTATACGGACTCGTTTCCATTCGCGAGGAAAAAATTACATTGGTCCAGATTTTCTGCGAAACATATTTACAGTCGAAAAAAAAAAAAAAGTATCCGAGGGATCAACAAGAAAAAAAAAAAAAAAAATTCGCAACAGAAATAGATCGAGCGAAATTTTTTGTTTCGTCGCTGCGAAACGAAATTTATATTAACGCACGAAGCTAATAAAATTTACAACACTGCCGCTCGACGCGCTGTTTCCTAGCGAAGTCGAGTTTCCGGTTTCAAATTTCCAACCAGTAGTAAAGTCTTTGCCAGCGTATTTGTCAAATGAAAATATTTTACTCTGCGACTATTTTTTAATAAAGTGTAATTTCACGTTTCACATTGTTGTGGGAAAAAGCGTTGGAAAAATTCTCTTTTTCATCGATCGCGCTTTTACGATCTCTTTTGTTTCTCTCTCTTTCTCTCTCTCTC